TGTAAAGTTCTAGTTGCAAAAGGTTACATTTTGTGACGTCTTACATGAATCAAAGCAAAAAATGTAAACCAACTCCCTAGAGTGGGGTCATGTTGCAGCTCTCATAAGGTCTCACATGAATGGCTTGAAACCCTTCGAGAGGACAATAGAACAAACAACAGAAACAATGCCCCCTAGACCCAAAACAATAACAGCTGCTGTAATGACGACAAATAGAATTCCAAGCTTGCAAGAGCTGCTACACTACTGTGAGAGTGCACAGCATGGACTGGAAATCATCTTTAAAACATTAGTTTTCTTTTATAAAAGAAAAATTTCATATAAGGCAAAGATCATCTCATGCCAATCATCATTCAATGCGAAATTCACAGTTTTGCTCATAGAGCACCTTGATACATGTATTTTACTGCTACCAATAAAAACTGCAGTGAAAATAGGTATTAATAATTTCCAGGGTTAAAACATAAAATCTTAAAGTACAACTGACTTTCAAAATACAGTATTTGTATTAAATACCCTACATTAAACACTCTTGTTTCATCTTTACAAATTTGATTTGTGATATAAATGCACTTATACTTGTACTGAACATGCGAAGAATTTGCTTTATATGACATTTCATGAAACACTAGTTGCAAGAAGTAAAGCTGTTTGCCATCAAATTACAATGACAACTTTGACATCATGAAATTATGAGTTGAAACCATCTAGTAAGATTTTTATTCCCTTCTCAAGTGAACTGTAATAAACCATGAACTACATTTGCATCAAAACATAATTTCCAGGCAAAGATGTAATTTTGCCACAGTCATTCAAAAACTCAGACTGCTGACCGGGGGTAAAATGTAGACTGAGGGTAAAATGCAGACGGTGGACCAGGGATAAAATGGTGACTGCAGGATTTTTAACAGAGACCAAACCATAAGCAGGCTAAAAGGAGCATGTTTCACGCTAGCCCGAGTGATATTCAGCCTAACCAGAGTGCAGACGATCTCTACATGTACAATTCTGAATAACCCTGTTTACGGTTTAAGACGATTTCCAGGCCGTACTACACAGTCTCAGCACCTTAATGTTTATAAACATCATAAATCTCACTCGATGGGATGCGAATCGATGTTATTCATTACCAACCACATACCTTATCTTTAGGGCCTTTCAAATTCTTTTTCCAACAGTGTGATGTTGTTTATCACGTGATATGAGAAAGAACGAAGCATAAAGGTTTGACCGCTTTGCATCCATAATGGTAGTTGTCGTGAAACTTTGAATTTGCTTCATGTAAGTAGTTGCAAAATGTTTACATTCTGTGATGTCTTACATGAAAGAAAACAAAAAACGCAAACAAACTCTCAAGAGTGTGCAGTATAGACTGGAAATCATCTTCAACACCCAATAATGAAAATTATAACACAATAGAGAAAAAGTCTGCAGTCTGCGGTCTGCATTTTACATCTGGTCTGCAGTCTGCATTTTACCCTCAGTCTGCATTTTAATCCTGGTCTGCAGTCTGCAGTCTGCAGTCCGTAGTCTGCAGTCCGCACTTATGCTCTCACTGTCTTCACTTTCCACTGTCAGACGAATCGAGACCAATTTTGCCGAGATTTCAATCCACGCGATATCGATTTATTTTGGCAAAAAAAAATGTCTCAAAGCATGTAAAAGTCTTTTTTCAACAATTTAAGGGATCAGAAGTAGTAGTAAAACATAAAGTTTTCAATACATGTTATGATGTACACAAGCTTACCAAGGACAGTCAAAGATGTCACTTTACATCTTGAGGCCGCTTGCTGTTTCTGGCTATTGAATAAGTGAGCGAATTTTCCTCCAGTTTGCTCCACCAGTAAACGTTTGTGTCTGGGCCACGTTTGGGAACATTTCTTGTAATGCAGCACGGCATTAGGCAGAGGACAGGACGAAGCTTGCAAGCACCTCGTGCAGAATTATTTGTAATGCAAATTTCATTTGAGTCCCAGGGTCACCAGTCTTTCTTAACCGGCGGGGCCTTGGCGCGAGGAAAGGGGGGAGACATACGATTATTATTTAGCTCTTGTTAATCGAGCTGGAGGTCTGTATGGGAGAATCTTGACCGACGTCGTGAGTACAGACCGAACGCAGTAAGGTCTGTACACACGACCGAGGTCAAGATTCTCCCCTACAGACCGACTTAGCTCGGTTAATAAGATGTTTATTATATGGCAAAGAAGAAAACTTTAATTCGTTTAATGTAACTGGCTTGCTGACATTTTGCTTGC